CTTTGGGGAAGAGAGGGGGGTATTGGCCAAGAAGGGACAGGATGGGGGTTTCCGGGTGGCGGTAATGTTTCATTTCTTGACCTGGTTGGTGGTTTCATGGGGGTTGTTCACTGTGATTAGCCTGCTGCTGGGATGATGCGCTCGGCCTGCCTGCCTGCCTGCGCAGCACGGGGGCACGAGGTAGCAGGGAGGAGCACAGCGTGGCCAGGCCAGCAGGCGGGGACCCACTCACTTTGGTTCAACCCTCACGACATTCTCAGAATATCTGATGTTTGGCGAGTTGTTGTTGAGTGAGAAGCAGATATCATCAATGGTCAGGGCCACAAACTTGTCTTTCAAATCCTTTTCGAGATAGTACTTTGCAGAGCGGTTCAGCCTGAAGGGAGAAGGGAAAGGTTTCTCCTTCTGGAAGGCCCAGATGGCACCTACAGTTTCTCGGGAGGCCCTGGAAAATGAAGCTACAGCTCAGTCTAGTACGGATGGCGTCACTTCCTCCCCTTTCCATCACTTAACCCCCCGCCCTCCCCATGACAAATTAACGTAACCAAGCCTGGACTTCAACATCCTCCAGCTGTGGCATTTTCTCATGTCACCACTGTGGCATACTCTATGTGAGAGGTCCGTGCTAGGAAAAAACACCTCGAGTGTCCTCCAGTTTATAGGCAGGGCTGACATCCGGCCCCAGCCCCACCACCACCAGAGGGAGACTGGCAGGTACACGAGGTTGTCCAGGCCTCATTCTGAGTGTTCCCAAGCCTCCTCAGGCCATGGAAAGTGCTCCTAGGAGTACGGAACCCCGTTCTTTCTGTGCCATGGAGCCCAGCCTTGGTGGGTGCTGCCTCTCTAGGTACGCCCAGTGGAGATGTGGGAGTGGCCCCGAACAGCCATACCTGATCTGCTCGGTGGTCTCCTCCAGGGTGCGGGTCAGCAGGGCTATCACCCCCTGGATCATCTCGTACTCCTTCAGTAGCTCCTCCTCGACTTCATCATGCACCAGGTCGATGCCCACTCGCTGCTCCCTGCCCAGAGAAAGGGGCAGGTCACCCAACGTGCGGAGGGAGGCAACGCCATATCTGCTAACATCTGGACATTTAAAACCATCTGGACAACTGGTTTGAGGAGCACCCACTCTGGATGGATGGCCTGGTCGGGGATGTACACTAGTTGGGTCTTTGCGCCTTGAAACAAATCCAAAACGCAAT